TCTTGAAGGTCCCCGGTCGTATCGGTCCGGAAAAATCGCCGGTGGTAAATATTCTACAGAGAGGTCGTATGTGGAAGAAAACTCCTTGTGAAACGTACAGTGGTGGACCGCCAAGCATCCAGTAGGTGTGGATGGTATCAGGACGTTTGCCGCGTAGTACGTTCTCGAAATTTGGCGGCTGGGATAAATCCGAACAATTCCTCAGAGCACTCCCCGTGGTAAATGCAAAGATATGCAAGATCTCTTCGTAGCGCCAGTGAATCGAGCCGATCGGAAATCACTCACAGACCATTCGAGCCGCTCTACACTGGATGCGGTCAAGTGGAAGGAGCTGGCACTGGGGAGCCCCAGCCCAGAGATGGGAACAGTATTCCATGTGCGGCCGAACCTGCGCCTTGTAAAGTTGCAGGCGGTGTGCCGGCATGAAATACCGTCCCGCTCTGCTGAGCACGCCAAGCTTTTTAGAGGCCAATTTGGTCTTCTCTTCCAAGTGACCACGAAACTGCACATCACTCGATATGTCTACGCGGAGGATTCCGATACTGGCTGAGGCAACAAGGGGAGTGCCTTGAAACTGAAGAGATACGACAAAGGGTTTCTTTTTAGCGGTTAACGCGCAAACTTGTGCCTTCTGAGGGTTAAACTGGACTAGATTTAGTCGCTCCCAATCCGAGACTTTGTTCAGCAAAGACTCGACTTCAGACACAAGTTTATCCCGGTACTCGGAGACGTTTTCCCGAGAAATATTGGCACGGCCGGTGTACAGAGCATCACCTGTCATTTGCATAGAAATGAATGTTACAGGTTTGCATATAATTGATATGCAGAAGATACAGCGTTAGTGATAGCACGCAGCCTTGTGGAAAACCAGCATTAATAGGCTTGTAATCGGAGCTTACACCGTCTACAACGATCTTGATGCTCCGATCTGCAAAAAAACTGGTGATTCAATTGCACAATTTCTCGGGAAGCCCATAGGAAGGGAACTTCGAAAGAAGCGTTTTGTGCCAAACCCGATCGAAGGCCTTCGCACGCCTTTCCTTTCCTTGAACTCTACTGCCTCCGCCCATCTATGAGTTAGGTAAACCAGAAGATCATCAGCTGATCGACCACGATGAAAACCGTATTGGCGATCACTAATCAGTTGGTGATCCTCAAGGTACCTCATGAGCTCGCAGTTTACAATAGACTCCATAGTTTTGGAGAACAAGGAGGTGATGGCGATAGGCCTGTAGTTGGACGGGTCTGAGCGGTCGCCATTTTTAGGGATCGGATGCGAAAGCCGTCTTCCATGATTTAGGGACTACGCCTAGAGAGGAGTACCGGAAAAGACGCGTTAAAACCGGTGCCAACTCTGGAGCACACGTCCTCAGCACAGTTGGGGAGTTTCCGTCAGACCCACTCGACGTGTGGATGTACAGGGAGAGGAGTGCTTTGCGAACCGAGCGCTGTGTGAACTGCACTTCCAGCATGGAGCACTCACACCGCGGGATGGTCGGCGGCGTACTCCCCCCGTCATCGAGAGTCGAGTTGGACGCAAAGAAAGAGCCTAGCAGATCGGCTTTCTCCTTTGCGGTATGGCCAAGTGAGTCGTCCTCCCTGTGCAGAGATGGAAGATATGGCTAACAGAAATTCCCCTGGACAGTCTTGGCGAGAGACCAGAATGCTCACATTTCAGAAGGAAGGCGAACTAGTTTCTCGCCAATTCTGCCTATGCTCTGACTTTGCCTTGGCAACGACACTTTTGAAGGACCTGGGGGCGGAATTATACTTCTTTTTTAGAGCGCTGATGTTTACATCCAGGGATGTTGATGCGTCAGCCCAGAAAACTCCTTGTGAAAACTCCTTGTGGATCGCCAAGCATCCAGTAGGTGTGGATGGTATCAGGACGTTTGCCGCGTAGTACGTTCTCGAAATTTGGCGGCTGGGATAAATCCGAACAATTCCTCAGAGCACTCCCCGTGGTAAATGCAAAGATATGCAACATCTCTTCGTAGCGCCAGTGAATCGAGCCGATCGGAAATCACTCACAGACCATTCGAGCCGCTCTACACTGGATGCGGCCAAGTGGAAGGAGCTGGCACTGGGGAGCCCCAGCCCAGAGATGGGAACAGTATTCCATGTGCGTAGCGCTTGGTAGCACTCTTGCTTATAGCATGATGCTATTTTACAGGAGCGACCAAACCATGGCTGAGATTGCCTCCGATGGGCACCACAGAGGAAGGAATAATAAGTTCCATACCCTGAAGTACCACCACATCAGCGACAGAATCTGCAACAACGTTGCGATCGTCCGGCGAGAAGCAAACCCGCTCCCAAGGGTAGGATACAAAGAAAGACCGCATCCCATCCCAATCGGCTGGCTGCAGGCTGCCGCCGTGTTTGGCACTATTGCCAAACACGGCGGCAGCCTGCAGAATGCTACTGCGATTTCAGCGCGAATGGCACCACACTCCAGACAAGACAATGGTCTGAGGAGCTAAAGGGTCGTCGACGGAAATCTGATATCGGTCCGGGTGAGAGGATTCTCACCACCATCCTTCACAGTTAGCTACCGTGGGTAAATCTTTGTTTCAGAGAGCACGGGGGGATCTGTGACGGTAAACACCTGGCTGCAGAGCTCCACCATGTCAAGCAAGTTTGTATGACAACAAGCTTCGAGTCCCGCGCCTACGTCACAGTGAACGAGTGAAGCCGGCCACAGTCGAGCGTGTACCTGCTGTACTGCCATATGTTAGAGGAGTCACTGACAAGATTGGCTACATCTTGAAGCGCTCTTCCATCAAAACATACTTCGAGCCGCTGAAGAAGATTGGTCAGTTTTTACCATCGGTCAAGTGTAATGTCCCTCTGCAAGATGCAGGAGTGTACAAGCTTGATTGTGAATGTGGTCTCTCCTACATAGGACAAACTAAAAGATCAATAAAAACCCGCGTTAAAGAACATATAGCTGATGTGAAGAATCGACGCTCCGGGAAGTCTGCAGTCTGTGAACACGTACAGGATCGCCCCCGTCACTACATCAGATTTGATAGACCGCAGAACCTCGCTAAAGAACACCGATTCCTTCCAAGGATGATTCGCGAGGCTATTGAAATCAAAAAACATCCTAATTTCAATAGAGAAGATGGCTGGGTGCTACCATCTGCTTGGGATCCTATAATAAATAAAATTAAATCCCAACCTAAGCATACAACTGCAAGACTTCAAGATACCATAAGTTCATACTGCATAGATCGGAACAAAAGTTAAATTTTAATCTATGGTAACCGCGGTTAACTATGACATATGGACGTTGAACATCTCAGTCCTGGCCGTGACCATGAGTGCTGTAAAGCGTTCGAAACGTCGGGTATTTAAAAAGTTAAATATACGCGATAAATTCCGTAAAAACTACTATTATTTCAATAAATTTTTAAATAAAATAACATATTTATTTTAACTTTTGGCAATGCTATTAGAAACGGAACCCTAACTGAAATAAAACAATTTAGTCATAATATATTCGTATACTTAACAGAAAATTTAAATAAAATCGTAAAAAAAAAAAAACAATTCAATTGCAGTTACTGCTCTTTTGCCATCCACTTAGACTCTTTCAATATCTACTGGCAGCATCCGGGAGCAGCCAAAGAGGGTTCCGGAATTATTAAACCATTTGCATAAACTTTTTCTTATATTATGTTATAGTAGTACCTGGATGACCGAGCTTACTTCGGTATTTTTATTGGAAATTATATTTAGATACAAATTACATGAATGATGAAACATAAATAATATTTTTGATCTTATTGATATAATAGAAAAAACTGAACTGGTTATTTGAATAAAAAAATCATGAGTGCAATAAGTTTAATTTAAATTTTCGTATTTTTAAAAAAATACTAAAAAAAGGGCTCGAAATAATAGATTTTCTCACAAAAGAAGGGAACTTGAAAAATAAAAAAGGAAAAAAAGTCGGACCAGAGACAGGACGCAAACCAAGGCACTCCGATTTCGCGACCGCCCGATATCCTACTTGAGCTATTACGATCGTTAATACGCTGTCAAAATTTACCTTCTTATATTGTGGCAGTTTTTCATTGCCTGAAAACACGCACAAAAGGAGATTTTCTAAAAATGAATTCTAGCTAGATCAATTTATTGTCCCCGAAACCCCCTGGACACAAAATTTTATGAAAATCGTTGGAGCTGTTTTCGAGATTCCGATATATATATATATATATATATATATATATATATATATATATGCAGGGTGTTAGTGTAAAGTGTAGGTTTCACTTATAGAACGTAAATTCAATGAAAAATAACAACTTTTTTTTTTAGTAAAATATCAATTTTTCCTTAATTCCTCAATTTTTGCTTGTCCTAAGCCAGGATGAAAGTATGAGTAAAAAGTTACATCACAGGTTATGTGTACCTATTGTGTTTTTATTGGAATGTAGTGTAGGTAGCTAGTGCGGGCGGTGATCTTTACAGCGATTACGTCACTCGGGCGCATAGGGTATCCATGAATTTACGGACGGTGTCGGACAGAAACTTTTTAACCCTTTATTTCACCGTGGGACAGTACTGGAACATACCAAATTTCTCCACATACAATCAAAAGCAAATTATTTTTTTCGGTTAATATACAGTGTTCGCGCTCTGGAACATATCGCGCGTCAATGTTTAGTATTGTTCATACCCCACAGATGGCGCTTTTTCCACACAAACGAATTTGAATCAAACAATTTGACGATTCGTAAAATACGTTTGTTTAGTAAGTTTTGAAAATAGATGAAAATTATTTAAACTGTGAAATCTGTTTGTTTGTGGTGTGAATCTACTAGGTAAGTGTATATTATTTGCTATTTATTGTAGATATTAAACAGTTTTATGTAATTTTTGAATATAATTGCCGTTTTGTGTTTGTGACAGTTCTGGCACATTGTGTTACTAAGTACATTTAGTGTCATACATTGAGCACTCTTTTATTATTGCGACAGGATGGCATTCAGATGTCTAGGGACGAGCAAATAGAGGAGTTCCTCTTTGATTATGCAGAAAGTGAAGACGGATTCGATGGTGATGACGACAGCATTGCAGATCCTGATTTTGTTCCGGATTTGGAGGTGCCAATGGACACCGATGATTTTGAAGAGGTTGATAGAGTGAATATTGACACCATCATTGAAAATATTGAGAATTCAAGTAGTACTTCCCAACCGCTAACTCCTTCTGAAACCTTTCCTCATCCAGGACCATCATCTAGACCTGAATCATCAGGACGCAGTCAAGCCAACCAAAAACTGAATTTACGTTGGAAAAAAAGAACCTCCAGCTAAATGAGCAGCAACTCAGCTTTAGAGGTGACGAAGACTTGCCAGCAGAGTTTCTAGAACTTGATAGTCCGGTACAGTTCTTTTTCAAAATATTTTCCAAGGAACTTTTTACCTAAACTAACCTTTACATTGTGCAAAAAGATACCAATATGCCATTCCGGGTCACAGAGACGGATATCCAGCAATTTATTGGTCTGGTTTTCATTATGTCGTTAGTACATCTGCCAAGAGTGACGAAACATTGGAGTGGTAGTTTAGGAACACCTCTAGTAAAAGACACAATGCCGGTAAATAAATTCGAAAAAATCAGATGATTTATTCACTTCAACGATAACTCGAAAATAGTTCCTCGCGATCACGCAAACCATGACCGCCTCTACAAAATCAGGCCTATTGTGTTGAAACTAAATGAAATTTGCCTCAATGTCCCGTTCGAGAAGTATCTCTGCGTGGATGAACAGATTTGTTCCACGAAAGCTAGACACAACCTCAAGAGATATGATCCTAAGAAACCCCATAAATGAGGCTACAAAATCTCTGTCCTGAGCGGCGTGAGCGGGTTTGCTTACAAGTTCAGGCCAGAAACTGGAGCTGAAAATGTAGTTGGGCCCAATGAGCCGAACCTGGGTGCTGCAGCAAATGTCGTCGTCAGGCTAGCTCGTGAAATACCACGCAATCAAAATTACCGCCTATATTTTGACAATTACTTCACATCCCTGCTACTACTAGAATATTTCGCTAAACAAGGAATATTAGCTTGGGAACCATTCGACGCAACCGAATACTATACCTGATTGCAAACTACCCGCAGAAAAAGAAATCTCCAAAAAAGAACGTGGCTATTCAGTCGAGTATGTTGCCTGTGTTCAAGGAACAGATATTTCTACAGTGGCCTGGAAGGACAATAAAATAGTCACACTTGCCTCCAATTTTGTGGGTGAACTACCCAAGTCACAAGTATCTAGATACGATAAGCTCCACAAGAGGTATGTGACCATTGATAGATCAAACGTGGTGGGAGAATACAACCGCCACATGGGCGGTGTCGATCTCATTGATAGTATAATGGGTAGATATAAAATAAAACTAGGAAGCAAGAGATGGCAGGTTCGAATGTTTTACCATTTCCTGGACCTTGCCATGTCCAATGCCTGGTTACTGTACAAGAGGGTTAATAAGACCAAGAATACGAATGGACCACTGCTGTCATCTGCTGACTTTCGTGAAGAGATTGGTACGGTGCTATGTAAGATGGGGATAAAAGCACACGTACAACGCCGAAGCATTGAACCAGACATCCGGGCTAAAAATCGCAAGGGTCCAGCTCAATTCGTGCCTCCAGCAGCTGTGCGCCAAGACCAAGTAGGTCACTGGCCAGTATGGGTCGAAAAACGTATCCGTTGCAAGCTCCCTAACTGCTCTGGAAAATCACAGACCATTGTGGAGTTGCATTATGCAACAACAAACAAAACAATTGTTTTAAAACGTTCCATATTTCATAGTGGAACACATTTCAGCAATGTATCCGTAATGTCACACTCGCTTTATTTTTATTTTGTGATGTAAATATAAAAAAATGAAAATTAAAGAATACGTGTTTTCTTATTTTCCTTAAATTTTTCTTAAATTCTACCCTAACAGCTACTTTTAATTAAGTAATATTTTATTGAGTTATAAAGTGTTAAATTTTATGAAAGAAAATAGCCTTTTTTTAAATTCATTGAATTTACGTTAAACCAAACCACTGGTTTCAAGTTTAAAAAATATATATATATATATATATAAAAAAATATATATATATATATATATATATATATATATATATTATATATATATATATATATATCTCTTTACGGTAAATGTTGATCAGACGCGACTTCACGCGAGCACTTTGTTGATCCGAAAACGCATGTTGATCCGGCGGCTTTTGTTGATCCAATATGCATCTCTGGTAACTAATGTGCCTCCAACCGGATCAACATCTGCACTCACTAGACAGTTTGCTAGCTTTGACTGAAGTTGATCCGATATACAAATCCACCTTGGGATGGTTACGGAAAATGTTGATCCGATTTAAATGAGCCAATCAGAGCACAGCAAACGATAAGATAAACGATCGGATTGGCTGAATGCAGCCGCGACGTTGCCGTTTCGTATCTTTGGCGGTACAAGCTACAGATTAAATGCGTGTTATGTAATGCATTCAGGGTGCTGTTTGGTCTACCTCGTTATTGTAATGCACCGGGTATGTTCGCGGATGCGCGTGTGGATTGTTTCTACACCACCATTCGTAAACGATGCACATCCCTGGTGCGCAGGGTGCGGGCCAGTTCCAATGGTATCCTGAGGGCATTTTCTGACAGGTTTGAGGTCAGTACCTGAACCATTGTCATATGATGCACGTGCTGACTAATCGGGCCTGTCTTATATATAGTTTTAAAGTTAGATAAATAGTTTTAAGTCTTACGAAAATTAGTTTTAAGATTTGTATTATTACTAACATCTATGATCCTTGTGATCGAAATAAACGACTTTTTTAACGAATTACTCGACAACGCCCCTTCTTGTAGCGGAAGTGGTGGCAACGGCGACATAAGGTATTCGTCTGAGTGCGTGTATGCGTGCGTGTGTGTGTGTGTGTGTGTGTGTATGTGTGTGTTTGTGTGCATATGTGTGCGTGTGCGCATGTGTACGTATGTGTACGTGTTTGTGTGTGTGTTTACCATAAACCAGTTAACATGTTTTCTACATCTTCATAATCAAGATTTTAAGGGCTCGTTTACAAAATTGATAGGTTTAGAATCGAAATATTACATGAGATATTATCATGAGACCTTACCTCCGGTCTTGATGGAGTGACCTCAAAATGTAATTCGGGATTACTAGTAGAACTGGGTGTGCTAAGTTTGGGCTCGTTTTGTTAGATATGATGAGTCCTTACCTCCGGAGTTGCTGAAGTGACCTGAAGGTGTACTTCGGTAACTAACACTGTAACACCTGGACTAGTAGAACTAGGTATGCCGAGTTTGGGTTTATTTTGTTAGTTATGATGAAACCGTCACAAAACAAAAGTTCTTTTCACTTTGTCCCTAGTACCAATAGGTATCCAAGCTGATATTCGGAAAAATGAGTAACCTCGTGGTAACATCTTTAGGGTCAGTATCGATATCCACTTAGCAGCCATACTGTTTTTCGCTGTAACCAACTGTCCTTTATATGAGCCTCACTTGCCCTCACGCGTTATCCACTTTACTGCACTCCAGTGCACCCTCCACCACCTCTGCCACCTACGCCTCCACATCTACCACCGCACCCCTCTCTAAGCATTCGTTCTCCACCTCCGCTACCTCCGCCTCCACCATAAACTCTGCTCCATACGCCTCAACAATAAACTCCGCTCCCTCCGCCGCCACCACCACGCTCCGTCACTATTCTTTCCGCCTCCAACACAATTCCCCGTTTCTACTATCTCCAACTTCACCACAAATTCCTCTCCTCCGCCTTCACCACATACTACGCTGCATTCACCTCCGCCTCCACGTCTCCATTTTCCGCCTCCGTTTTGTGGGCACACACACACACAAACACAGACCACAAACATACACACATACATGCACAAGCACATACACAAACACAAAACAACAGTGGACACACACACACGCACACACTCGTACCCACATACAAAATCAAACACACACACACACACACACACACACACACACACGAACAACAGTTAACACACGCACGCACACACTCTCACACACACGAACAACAGTTAACACACGCGCGCACACACTCACACACACAAACCCGCACATACACTCACACACACGCGCGCGCACGAACGAACACACATACACGCACAAGCACATACACAAAACAACAGCAGACACACACACGCACACAGTCGTACCCACACACAAAAGCGAACACACGCACAACCGCGCGCGCGCACACACACACACACACACACACACACACACACACACACACACACACACGAACAACAGTTAACATACGAACGCACACACTCACACACACACGCGTGACACGCGTGCACGCGCGCACGCACACATACTAACACACACACACACGTACTAAAAACACACAACAGTGCACACACACACACACACATACACTCACACACACGCGCACGCACAACGTTCACACGAACACACATAAACGCACACACACCCACATGCACGCGCACACACAAACTCGCATAAAACAACACACACACACACACACACACACACACACACACACACACACACACACACACACACACACACACAAACATACACACGCAAACACACGCTCGCGCGAACTAAATGGCATCCCCCACTCTTACACACACACACACACACACACACACACACACACACACACACACACACACACACACACACACACACTCGAGTGACAAATTAATTTGTGAAAGTAAAGTACTATCCATCATCTTCTAATTGATCTATGACAAATGAATAAAATAACACAAATTCACTCACACGATAACAAAAACTCGAACAAACGTCTTTCGACAATAAAACCTGCCAAAGTTTGATCCACAAAATCAGCAGATAACGTATTTTCTTACCTTATTACTATAACGAAGTAGCCTACGGGTTCTCTGTCACACACAGAACGCGACGTTGCCGCTTCGTGTTCGAGTACCTATTCGTCAATTATGGCTCCGGATCCACTTGTCTAAGTAAATGTCGCATATAAATTAAATATACTCTGGATCTAAAAAATCACATTCAGTATGATTTTTTTCGACCGTTGATAGACCAACAAATGTTGGTCAAATCGCTGACGAGTATATTGAAAACCTGTTAGTGCAGATCTACCGACGTCACACGCGCATCAAGGATGGATCAAAGTATATAAGTTTGTGTGACGAGGACCTGAGCAAACACGTCAAATAGGTGGATCAACAATTGTTCTAACTTCTCACTGGATCAAAATTTACCGTGAAAGGATGATATATATATATATATATATATATATATATATATATATATATATACAAACACCGTTATCCTTGAAACCATACAAGAATTGCTCGTTTAAAGGTATAGGATATTTCACAGCGCCGCACAATACAGCTCATTTGCCGTGCTGGCAGCAAGTCGCTGTGGCTGCAGTCTACTTTCAAGACGGGCTCTGGCAGTCTTGTCACGCACTTAGCGGCTGTTCATTTGTACACTCATGTGCGTTGTGAAATACATTCCACATGTTGGACATATTCTGTTCTTGAGGTGGGATTGTACTGATGGGCAAAAGAAATCGTAAGGCATTTGCTTAAAACCTAGAAGAAGCGACAGATCAACGGAAAACCTCACAAAAAGAGGTGAAAACTTACATGATACTTTCTTGTCTAGCTGACTAGGTACCACGAGCTTGCTTGGGGTTTGAATAACTGGGTAGGGTTGCGGCAGGAAAATATGCGGAAAGACAGATTTCAATGCACTCCTCGAGCGGGAATAGCAGGATTCGTCCGAACATTTAATCACTTGCAAGAATTATTGCGATTCACGGACGTGAATGCTAAAACCACGCCATATTAGGTTCTGCTGGATCCTGCAAGCTATATTCGGGCTTTCTATATTCTGCAATGTGCTTCCACATAAACAAACGAATACTAACAACGACAAAAAATTGAAATGACGTACATTACAGACGACGGATTCCCCGTAAAACATAAAAAGGTTTTTGAGAAAGAGTTGCCAACTTGAGACACTTTAATTCCCTAGTTTTTATTTACATAAAAAAAAGTTACATAACGCGTTGTTCGAACCCCCTTCCCGCCTTAACGTAACGTTTTACAAGACCCCCTCCCACCCCCCAAATTGCGTTATGTAATACTTAAACACACCCTGGTATGGGTATGGTTATAATATAACAATTATATTTTATAGAGTGAGCCTTCTTATAGGAATAACAATACAACTGTTACAGTTTACAAACAATTTATTTAAATTTACAAAAAGGTATTCATCACTTTATTTGGCCTTTTTTTTGTTTAAAAGGCTTCTTTGCTTTATATGATTGCTGTTGGCTTTTATTGTTGCTATTGTTGCTGATCTCACAAATTTGCCAAAACTTTTTACCTTTAAGAGATTGATATCTGAAATGAGACAAAAGTGTATCCATTACTTTATTTATGTGTGAACTTTTAATTGGCTTTTAGCATACTCTTTCGTTTTTTATAAATTTATAACTAGCTGTAAGTTCTCCTAAAATCATAATAATAATTTAAATTTAATTAAATATATAAAGGGCAATGGTGAACTCCCAAAAGAATTATTGTGGACCTTTTTATTCTTCTATCTACATATGAAAAATATGTGAAAAATAGAGGTTGAAATCGTGAACAATTTATTCTTCAGTCATACTACTGCAGGAAGTCAGGAAGATATAAGAACTATGTTTACCATACCTGGCAAATAGTTACAAAAACAACTGGTCAATATAATTTTCAATTATGCTTATAAAGAGTAATTACTGGCATTGAGACAATCCTAAAATAACACATTAGTATATAGAGAATTACGTGAATAAAA